CCACAGGCATGCACCACCATGCCCGGCTAATTTTTTCTATATATATTAGTTGGCCAATTAATTTATTTTTATTTATAGTAGAGATGGGGTCTCGATCTTGCTCAGGCTGGTTTCAAACTCCTGACCTCGAGCAATCCGCCCGCCTCGGCCTCCCAGAGTGCTAGGATTCCAGGCGTGAGCCACCGCGCCCGGCCTGGAACTTCTGACAGATGGCATCAAGCAGGGGTTCCCACAGCCACCTTTTTGCTAGAGCAGCCCACACAACTCAGGGAAGTACGGTTTACTGGTTTACAATAAAGGATAGTTTATTTTTATTTTTTTAAATAAAGAATATTTTAAAGGACACAAATATTGTTTAACCAGATGAAGAGATACACAGGGCAAGGTCTGGAAGAGTTCCAGGCGCAGGAGCCTGTGTCCCCGGGGAGGTGTGCCATCCTATCGTGAGGGTGAGTTCTCGTTCACCTTCCTGCCAGCCTCCACATGTTCAGCTTTCCGGAAGCTCCCTAACCCTGTCCTGTGAGCCTTTTATGGAGACTTCATTGGTCTCCGTGATTGCAGCATGGACAACGGTGTCAAAGCGTGAGGGAAGACATGGGTGCGACTTAAGCCTGGCCAGGCTTATCTGCTGTTGGTCTCTCTGTGCAGTATTCCCTCTTCCAGAATGTGCCGGCAGGACCCTCTCTGGAATGAGGGTTTTATGACCCACAATCAGGTTAGAGTCCTGCCCTGAGCAGGTGAAAGGAGGGCAGGAGCAGGTCAGAAAGTGTCTGTTGCCTGAGGCCTGCTTCTGAGGCCCAAATTGCCCCAACATTATAACACAAGAATGTAACAAAGGCTACGGGAGTTATGAGCCAGGAACCAGGAGTGAAAACCAGTATACACACATCACAGGCTGGAGCCCACTGAATTTGGTAATATAAAAGTCATCGATTACCTTTGCCAGAACACTTTTCAGTACAAAAGTAAAGTCAATGTCAGTTTTCAGTGGATTGGAGTAAATGAGATGTGAGAAAGTAGAGATTGTGAATGTAAGTTTGTGGTTCCTAGTCTGGCTGAACATCATGACCAACTGGGGAAGTTTTTGGGTTTAAGTTCTCAGGTGATTTTTTTTTTTGAGACAGAGTCTTGATTTGTTGCCCAGGCTAGAGTGGGTGCGGTGGTGTCAGCCTAGCTCACAGCAACCTCAAACTCCTGGGCTCAAGCAATCCTGCTGCCTCAGCCTCCTGAGTAGCTGAGACTACAAGCATGTGCCACCATGCCCGGCTAATTTTTTCTATATATATTAGTTGGCCAATTAATTTGTTTCTATTTATAGTAGAGACGGGTCTTGCTCTTGCTCAGGCTGGTTTCGAACTCCTGACTTTGAGCGATCCTCCCGCCTCGGCCTCCCAGAGTGCTAGGATTACAGGCGTGAGCCACCGCGCCCGGCCTCTATAAGCTTTTTGTATTTTCTTTCTTTTTTTGTTTTAGAGACAGGGGCTATGCATAGGCACAATCCCACCCCCTGTAGCCTTGAACTCCTGGGCTCAAGCGATCCTTCTGCCTCAGCCTCCCCAGTAGCTGGGACTACCAGGCATGCACCACCACACCCAGCAGCCTTTTCTACTTTTAAAAATTTTTATTTTTTTTTAACTTTTAAACCTTTTTTTTAAGTCATCTCCTGTGATAACAGCGCCTTCTTCTGGAACACCTCCTCAGGGACCTGCCTGAGGCTGTTTTACAGTTAACTTGTTTTTCCCTTTAATCAGTACAAGTACACTCTAAGATAATAGTAATACCTCATTTGTATAGTGGTTTGTAAAAGAAAAACAAACCTAAAAGAATGGTAAAAAATATAGTGTAGTAAATATATAAACCAGTAACCTAGTCGTTTATTATGAAGCATTATGTACTGTACGTAACTGTATGTGTATAGTTTTATACAACTGGCAGGGCAGTCGTCGTTATGTTAGTTGGCCAATTGTTCCAAATGATGCTGAGAAATACTTACGTGATGCTGAGAAGCCAAGAAATGTGCAGTAGCTAGAATGGGGGAGGTGGTGCTCTAAGGCGGGCAGAATATACAGCTACAGAGGGTGGGCTGGTATACTCGGTACTGGGAGGATGAAGAGTTTTTCTCTGCTGTGCTTCTGTTCTATAAGGGACAGAAAACCAGCCCTTGCGATTGTTTTTCTCCAGCCATGTTTAACTTCTCAGGTGAAGTGTGAAGTGAGTGAAGAGTTTAAAAAGGGTTGTGGCTTCACAAGCTGAATGTGAAGAAAGAATATAAGGAAGTGATTGTCACATGAGTAGATAATGGAATATAAACTTCTGCCATAGGGGATGGAAGGTGAGATAAGGACTGAAAAATTCTTGAGGTGGGAATACCAGTTAGTGAGCTGAAAAGTCTGTGTTTAAGAAAAATCCCAAACCGTGTTTTTCCTCTGTTCTTGCAAAACAACTATCAACACAGAAGACTTCTCTGACCTAAAATGTGTGGGGATTTTTCCCCACCAGCAAGCAAGCAAGCAATTCTGCAGCAGACACCAGCTGGGTGACCTCCAATCCCCAACACCATCTGTTCACTGGGAGATAGCATCACATCTTACAGGGTGAGGGCTCAGTCCCCAAGAGTGGCCCCACCTTCAGACATCAGCTGCTTGTCCAGGCCTCTGGAACTTTTTTTTTTTTTTGAGACAGAGTCTCGCTTTGTTGCCCAGGCTAGAGTGAGTGCTGTGGCGTCAGCCTAGCTCACAGCAACCTCAAACTCCTGGGCTCAAGCGATCCTCCTGCCTCAGCCTCCCGAGTAGCTGGGACCACAGGCATGCACCACCATGCCCGGCTAATTTTTTCTATATATATTAGTTGGCCAATTAATTTATTTTTATTTATAGTAGAGATGGGGTCTCGATCTTGCTCAGGCTGGTTTTGAACTCCAGACCTCGAGCAATCCGCCCGCCTCGGCCTCCCAGAGTGCGAGGATTACAGGCGTGAGCCATCATGCCCAGCCTCTCAGGTGATTTTGACATAGCCAGAAGCTTAGCTGATATGGTTATTAAAATAATACAGTAAAAAAGATTTCATATATTACTAGTGAAAATAATTTAAACTTTTCTATAGAGCTATATGAAAATTAATTTTAAAGAATTACATACTTTAACTCAGTAATTCCTCACTTAGGGATTTAAATAAAGAAATGTGGTAAAAATGATCCATTTATAAGTAATGTGCAGCTATAATGTTTTTAAGCAATACTGGCTTAATGGGAGGCTGAGGCTGGAGGATTGCTTGAGCCCAAGAGTTCAAGACCAGCCTGGGCAACATAGGAAGACCCTATCTCTTAAAAAATACCAAAAGAAAGAAGCTCCCCAAATGATTTGATCATATGCCTGATTTGGTGTTTATTTAAAAGAAAGTTAGGCCGGGCACGGTGGCTCACGCCTGTAATCCTAGCACTCTGGGAGGCCGAAGCGGGCAGATTGCTCAAGGTCAGGAGTTTGAAACCAGCCTGAGCAAGAGCAAGACCCCCGTCTCTACTATAAATAGAAATTAATTGGCCAACTAAAAATACATAGAAAAAATTAGCCAGGCATGGTGGCGCATGCCTGTAGTCCCAGCTACTCGGCGGCTGAGGCAGCAGGATCGCTTGAGCCCAGGAGTTTGAGGTTGCTGTGAGCTAGGCTGACGCCAAGGCACTCTAGCCCGGGCAGCAGAGTGAGACTCTGTCTCAAAAAAAAAAAGGAAAGTTATACATACAGTATGAATTCAATTTGTTTGAAATATGCACCAAAAATAGCCAAGAGGAAAATGCAACCAAACTTTGAAAAGGAAAGAGCGTATGTGAATAGGAGAAGTTGGGGGGCAGCTAGTGGCAGACGAGGCAAGGCAAGGCAGATTTCGTTTTTAGGGTCAGAGGAAACTGAACATGTTTGTAGACTGAGAGGAAAGAATGAATAGAAAGGCTTTGGTTTAACATATGAGAAAGCAGACTGCGTTGAATTTTTGAGTTGAAAGAGGTAAGAACATAAAAGGAAGATGAGGTAAAAAAACAAAAAAGGTAGAAGGATAAAGAAATGATAGAAGAATGATGTATTCATAACTTTTAATATAAAACTACAAAACTATTTCGGATTACCAAATAATATGTATAACAGAAACCCTGACCTCTGTCTATCCCATCCTTGAGGCATCAATATAGACAACCAGAAAGCCCTATTTGATCTGGTTTCTTTTTTCTTTTTCTTTTTTGACAGAGTCTCACTTTGTTGCCCAGGCTACAGTGAGTGCCGTGGCGTCAGCCTAGCTCACAGCAACCTCAAACTCCTGAGCTCAAGCGATCCTCCTGCCTCAGCCTCCCGAGTAGCTGGGACTACAGGCATGCGCCACCATGCCCGGCTAATTTTTTCTATATATATATATATATATATTAGTTGGCAAATTAATTTCTTTCTATTTATAGTAGAGACAGAGTCTTGCTCTTGCTCAGGTTGGTTTCAAACTCTTGAACTCAAACGATCTGCCTGCCTCGGCCTCCCAGAGAGCTAGGATTACAGGCGTGAGCCACCGAGCCCAACCTTGGCTTCTTTCTTCTTTTTGTTTTGTTTTTTTTTTTAAGAGATGGGAAGGGGTCTTGCTATATTGCCCAGGTGATCCTCCCACCTCAGCCTCCCGATAGAACGGTCACCATGTGTGGCTGATTTGAAGTTTGTCAGTCATTTTTCCATACTGTCATTCTACCTCTAACTTACTGTACCTGTCGTGCTCATGTCCATTGGTATCATCTTCCTGTCTTCACTTCCCTCCTTATCCCATCCATCAAATCACTCTTGAAACAAAACTAAATGACCTTACTCCTCTCACTTAGTCACACACACCAGAAAAAAAATCACTCTTCCAGGAGGTATAATCAGGTTTGCACAGAAAAGGCAGAAGGGGATGTTTAGAGACACATTGACAAATTGCAGATGGTACCGAACCCATTAGATTCTGCAGTGGATTTCCCTTTCAGTCTGCAAACATTTCCACAGAGATTGGTACTTTATTGATACTTTTTCTTAAATAAAATCACTGAATGCACCTTATGAAACTTCACATCCACAGTAGGGTGCAAATAGAATGTTTCAAAACTCCTTTGCATTTCATCTAGTTCTACTCCATAGAATTTAGCGACTGTTAAAGTTTTCTTGTTTATCCTTCCAGAATTCTATTTATACCCGAGAATGGTGCCATACAAAATGTTTCACAACACAGTCCATATATTTAAAAGATCAAAATATGTTAAATCTGGAAAACAATTTCCATTGAAGGATGAGGAGATCTTTTTAAAACATATTTAAAAACTTGAAAAAGTTAAGGAAGTTATAGAGGTAGAACAAATTCTGCTTAAGCTTGTGTGTCACATGGCACCTGGCTATATCTGTCCTCCCTAGGGAGGGGACAGGGTCCTTCTATACGCCACTGAAGCTGATCTTGCTGTCCTGTCTCTTTGTAAGAAACGCGTTGCTCCATCCATTGCCTGACTGTTTTGTTTCGTGCACAACTCCGACACCAAGGTGCAACAGGCAGAAAGGTTTGGACTTCTATTCCTGGTGACTGGCATAGGGATGATCTTTGCTAAATTCTATGTAGTGGGAGTCCTCCCCTGGTGTGGGTAGTCATCACTCCATATTTTGTGCTGCTTTCCTGGGATTGATAAGCACGTGCATGGTTATCACAATGATCAAGATAGCACATAAACATTTGCACATAATATACATAATATATAGAAATTTGATATGCAGTCTATGCATATATATATATATGTAGTCTAAAATGTTGGCATTGTTCTTAATTCCTTCCAAAATCACATGAGATTCTGCCAAAAACTAGAGAGGAAAGACAATCATTGAATATATTTAACATCTTAGGAACAAAAAGGACAAAATTATTAATTCTATACTGTAATCAATAAAAATCTGATGTCTGTAGGTAGACACTTGGTAATACGATTGATTGCATGTTAATGGTGGCATATTTACGTGTGTGTGCATTTGTGTGCTTTGAGTAGAGTGAAAAAGAAAGCAGTAAATGGTTTTTTTGTCACTGGCTGTAACACCAAAAGATTTATGAGGATGCCTAATAACTATGGGAACATAAACCATCTCCAAAATATATTGCTTTTTACATACTTTCTTACCCCCTTGCGTCTTTTGTTATACTTCCGCTTGGACATTTCTTTGTTGTATGTCTTCCTCTTTCTACAAAACCATTGATTTATCTGCAAAAAATAATGTGGGGTAGTGATTAATACAGGAAAATGGATATTGGTTTATATGAGTAATAGTATTATACGAGTGACTTTATCAATGAAGAAATGTCATACCTGTCTATTTGTCATGCTAAATTCAAATGACAGTGATAGAGTATCTTGTATCGTGAGGTATTTGTTTAATTTGAACTTTCCCCAGAGAGTGTCCATGAGGGATTTGCCGACTAATCTTTTCCTGGGACATCCTTCCCCATTTTCCTTTTCTTTTTTCTGTTCCTCTTCCAATTCCTTTTCTACTTCCTCTTCTTTGTCTCCCCCTCCTGCTGTTTCTTCTTCTCTGCATTTCTGCTTTTTCGTTCCTTCTTCTTCCTTGCAATTCTTACTTGATTGCTCTGGACTTGGATCCCAAAGCATGGCTGGTTGTTTCTGGATAATAAGCTCTGTGGAATAAAATCAAGCTAAGTTTGACTTCCAGATCCACATTCTTCAGTGTGAAAATATATTTGATTTTCATCAATTAAATCAATGTTGTACATTGGTGGAAAGCAGAGAAGAAAAGCCAGAGAGGAAGAAAAAGTAATCAAAATCTGTTAAGATTTTCATGAAAAGAACAGATTAAGGGCTAGGCACCCTGGCTCATGCCTGTAATCCCAGAATTTTGGGAGGCTGAGGTGAGAGGACTGCTTGAGGCCAGGAGTTTGAGACCATTCTGGGCAACATAGTGAGACCCTGTCACTACAAAAAAATTGAAAATAAATTACCCAGGCATGGTGGTATGTGCCTATAGTTCCAGCTACTCAGGAGGCTGAGGTGGGAGGATCGCTTGAGCCCAGGGAGTTTGAGGTTGCAGTTGAGTTATGATCACACCACTGCACTCTAGCCTGGGCAACAGAGTAAGACCTTGTATCAAAACAAATCAGAAAAAGAACAGATTAAAAATACTTTTGGGGCCAGGCATCATGGCACATGGCTGTAGTCCTAGGTACTCGGGAGACTGAAGGAGGTAGTTCTCTTGAGCTCAGGAATTTGAGGTTGAAGTGAGCTACAATGATGCCACTGCACTCTATCTGCCCAGGGAGACACAGTGAGACTCAGTCTCAAAATATATATAAAAAAAGAATTATCTATTGAAATTAATACACCTTATGATATTAATTAGCCAAATATAAATTATCTTGAAATGAATAAGTTATGAGATGTGACAAATTTACAACAAAATCTAAAGTAAAATGAGGGAATCAAAGCCAAAAGTTGCTTCTTTGAAGAGATTAATAAAATCTTCTGAAAAGATCGATCAACTAAAAAGAAGACACACATAAATACTAGCCATGGGCAGGGCGAGGTGGCTCACGCCTGTAATCCTAGCACTCTGGTCAAGGTCAGGAGTTCAAAACCAGCCTGAGCAAGAGCGAGACCCTGTCTCTACTATAAATAGAAAGAAATTAATTGGCCAACTAATATATATAGAAAAAATTAGCCAGGCATGGTGGCACATGCCTGTAGTCCCAGCTACTTGGGAGGCTGAGGCAGCAGGATTGGTTGAGTTCAGGAGTTTGAGGTTGCTATGAGCTAGGCTGACGCCTCGGCACTCACTCTAGCCTGGGCAACAAAATGAGACTCTGTCTGAAGAAAAAATAAAAAATAAAATAAAAAAAAAAGAAAAATAGGATAAGATAGGGGAGGTGTACAGATAAGTAGGTAGACTGTATGGGTAGTCATATAGTTATAGACAAAATGTTATATTACTCATATTATAATAGTATACAATAATATATAGTTTTATATTTTATAAAACCAAAAGGTTTTTAATTTTTTTTTAAGACAGAGTCTCGCTTTGTTGCCCAGGCTAGAGTGAGTGCCATGGCATCAGCCTAGCTCACAGCAACCTCAAACTCCTGGGCTCAAGCAATCCTCCTGCCTCAGCCTCCGAGTAGCTGGGACTACAGGTGCACACCACCTTGCCCAGCCCATTATCCCATTCTTTATCTTTTCTATAGTATAGTTATTAAAAAGACTGCCTTTTTAATATACTGAATATATGCTATTGTATTAATATACTTCACCTTTCCACACTTAATTCTGATGTGTTAGAGTCCAGGCCAGGTGCGATAGTTCAGCGCTATAATGCTAGCACTCTGAGAGGCCAAGGCAGGAGAATCACTTGAGGTCAGGAGTTAGAGAACAGTCTGAGCAAGAAGAGTGAGACCCTGTCTCTACTAAAAATAAAAAAAATTAGGCAGGTGTGGTGGCGCCAGCCTGTAGTCCCAGCTATTTGAGAGGCCAAGGCAGAAGGACTGCTTGAACCTAGGAGTTTGAGGTTGCTGTGAGCTATGGCACTCTAGCTCTGGAGACAGAGCGGAACTGTCTCAAAAAATAAAGACTCCAAACCAGTACAAACTTTCTCGAACCAAATCTGGAAGTGCTGACAAAGTGTAAAGTGTATAACATGTCTTTGATCTAGAAAATTAAAAAAAAAAAGTTGCTCATTAATGAAGTTACATGTAAAAGAATTTTTATTTGTTTTTTGTTTTTTGAGACCGAGTCTCACTCTTTAACCTGGTAGAGTACCATGATGTCAGCGTACCCACAGCAACCTCAAAGTCCTGGGCTCAATCATTCCTCCTGCCTCAGCCTCCCGAGTAGCTGGGACTATAGGCGCAGGCTACCACGCCTGGCTAATTTTTAGGTTTTTAGTAGAGATGGGTGTCTCTCTTTGCTCAGGCTGGTCTCGAACTGCTGACCTCAGGCGATCTCCTGCCTCAGCCTCTCAGACTGTTAGGATTACAGGGGTGTGGTAAAAGAATGTTTATTGTAACATTGCAAGTAACAGCTGTTTCTTTAAACTAGTGTTCATTAATCAAAGAATGCTTAAGTATTATCTACCCATTCTGTGAAATACTATGTAAAACACAAAATTGTTTAAGTATAGTCTCATGCATGTAAACATTTTGTACAAATATGATTGAACAAGTATGGAAGAAGACTTTGAATAACATCTACACACTTTAACAATAATTACCAAGGGGAATGAAATAAATGGCCAGTGAGGAAAAGGGATTTTTGCATTTTATGTTATATACTCTCCATATTGTTTGACCCTGTGCAATCGGAGTGTATTTATTTTTATTTTATTTTATTTTATTATTTTTTTTTTTACGAGACAGAGTCGCTTTGTTGTCCAGGCTAGAGTGAGTGCCGTGGCCGTCAGCCTAGCTCACAGCAACCTCAAACTCCTGGCTCGAGCAATCCTTCTGCCTCAGCTCCCGAGTAGCTGGACTACAGGCATGCACCACCATGCCGGCTAATTTTTTTTAATATATATATATGTTGCCAATTAATTTATTTCTATTTATAGTAGAGACGGGTCTCGCTCTTGCTCAGGCTGGTTTCGAACTCCTGACCTTGAGCAATCCGCCCGCCTCGGCCTCCCCAGAGCTAGGATTATAGGCGTGAGCCACGCGCCCCGGCCGTGTATTTATTTTTAAATAAAAAAAAAAAAGAAAAGGTTTAATTAACTTAAGAGACAGAGTCTCGCTCTGTTGCCTAGGCTGGAGTGCAGCAGTGCAGTGGCACATTCATAGCTCACTGCAGCCTTGAACTCCTGGGCTCGAGCAATCCTCCCACCTCAGTCTCCTGACTAGCTGGGACCATAGGCACAAGTCACCATGCCAGCTAATTTTTTAATTTTTTGTAGATTGAGGTCTATTTGACTAGGCTGGTATTGAACTCCTGGCCCCAAGCGATCCTCTTACCTCAGCCTTCTAATGTGCCAGGACTACAGGCATGAGCTAACCACGCCTGGCCCAAAACTATTACATTAACTAACTCCATGAAATACCCGAATGCTGAGTAAGCAC